ATCAGTACTCTATACTCAAGCCATGCAAATGTCCAAGGTTTCTACTCCACTTCCACAAACCCTTTCACCATCCAGGCAAGCAAGGAGCCTGGTCATAGTTCAAGGAAACATTGCAGCCAGGCTAGGGCAGTCTGGAAGAGCAGAGAACAGGGTAAGGGAGGGGGGCTTCCTATGTTCCAAGAGCCCCATTCAGCCCACAGGGCAGAGGTTCCCACATCTGCTTTGTCATTGTTTAAAACCATGCCCTTCCCCCTCTGTGTTTTCTTCATGCCTGCTTAATTCAAACTTCTGCCACTGTTTTAATCCACCACTTTCTCTCCCTTCTCACTCCCAAGTAAGCAGCGAGGCAGGAGCCCCCGCCCCGGCGCCCGAGATTATTGGGGGGGCTGAGCCCCCCAAAAAATTTTTGGAGGGGGCTCGAGCCCCCTCAAGCCCCATGGAGTCGCGCCTATGCTCCCAAGTTGCTGCCACTGCTGTTGTGCAACGTGTGTTCACCTTTGCTCCCCATCCCACCATAACTTCATTGCAAATCTAAAGCTATGATGCAGGACTACAAATCCTCCAAAGGGGCCTATGTGATGACATTCTTACAGTATTACAGCCTTTGGCTGCTGTCAAATATTTGCTTTGCTGTTGATACATACCAGGGGTAGCCAACATGGTGCCCTCCAAATTCTGTTACACTATTAGTCATGCTGGCTGCGAATGATGGGAGCTGCAGTTCAACACCTAGAGGACACAATAGTGGCTGCTACCTCTGCTCTATTTCTTTATAGCCTGTCTTGGATTTACCTGTGTCAGAGAATGGCTAGATATAATGGAATGAATGCACAGTAGGAAGTTGGCAACCCAATTAGGGGTGGTAGTCCAAAAGCCAATGCTGGGAAATTGCATATTATCATAGCTTAATGCTACTATTGGCCAGTCCCGTCCCCCCAGTAGCCATGAGCCAAGATGAGAGAATGAGCCATACATCAAGTTCAGCCCTTCTGCCTTAACAGTAGTATTATCAATTATCAATTGTTCACAAATTGTCTAGCTTCTGGGAACCATTTTTCTCATCAATTTGTCTGCTAGGGACTCTGCAGCTTTCAGCAAGGACTCCTTCCACTTTTACCGAAGATTCTCAGACATCATTTAAGGTACAAGCTCAGTTCATGTGCACTGTGGCACATAACCAAACACTCCCACAGCCGTGCAGTAGAAAGGGAGCTTATGCAGAGGTGGGCAAGCTTTCCTTCAAGAAATATTGTCCCCCATTATTGATCTTCTCATTGAGAAGCCCTCTCATAAACCACTAGGGTGTTTTTGACACAATAATAGTGACACAATAATTAGTGCTGTCTGGAAACACTATAGAGCAACAACTATAAGGAACTACAGTATAGAGAACAAACGTTTGTGGTATTAAAAAGTTGTGGGATTCCCTCAGGAAGATACAGGATATACACTGATTGTAAAGGAAGCAGTGTGACCAACCCCAAAACCTTTGAAGGCACAAACAAGTAGAGTCACGTGTGACTACCCCAAAAGCATCATGAGCAGAAATAATAATGAATGTGCAATAAAATGACCATCCAGAGGTTCTGAAAACCAAAACTTGCCATTTATTATTTTACCAGCAGAGGTCGCCCAAGACCATTGAATCCTATAACATGGACATTATTAGTATATCAGTTCCTGTTAAGCACCTCAGCTAACAAAGATATGCAACCTGTTAGCATTCCCAGACAAGGAGATTGGCAGCCACTCTGGGTCATGTCTCTTTTTTCAGTACTAGTCACAATCCTGTCGACCCTTGAAAACTGGGAATAGGATGCGGCACAAATGAAGAGCCCTCGATGACCCGCTTTGCCCTCTGCCAGCAGGGCAGCTGGGGAAAGTGATCTTACTGTGTGTTGGGAACACAAATTACATTATCCAGCCAGCACTTAAATCCTCTCTCTGAGCTGAGCACAACTGAAACAAATTCCTTGCCAGCAAGTCTTCATTTTCACAAAGAAAAAATATTATTCAGTAATTGATTCTGCAGATCTAAAAATCGAGATCTTGGAAAAGGGAATATCAGAAGTTGACTTGGCTTCTTAAGCTTCAATATAGGGGAAGGATGCAGATGCAGCCATCATGAAAACCTGCCTGCACACACATACACACAAGACCTGGCTGGTTCCAAGGCCTCCATGCTGGTTTCTCTGAGGTCCAGTTCCGAGGGCCTTTTGGCGGGTCCCTCACTGTGAGAGGCCAAGTTACAGGGAACCAGGCAGAGGGCCTTCTCGGTAGTGGCGCCCGCCCTGTGGAACGCCCTCCCAGCACATGTCAAAGCGATAAACAACTACCTGACATTCAGAAGACATCTGAAGGCAGCCCTGTTCAGGGAAGTTTTTAATATGTGACATTTTTGTGTATTTTTCATCTTTGTTGGAAGCCGCCCAGAGTGGCTGGGGAAACCCAGCCAGATGGGTGGGGTACAAATAATAAATAATAATAATGATAATAATGATTATTATTATTATTATTATTATTATTATGCCTATTATTATTGATAATATGCCCAGGTACAGATTGAACTGCCTCCTTATTTGGCTTGTTAGATTCTACTAACTGGTCTGAATTTCTTCCTTTCTGCGTTTGCTGCCTCCTTGGCTTTTCCAGGTCCGGAGAGACCTTGTAAGAGCTGCAGAGGGAAAATGTCATCCTGTGTGAGTTCCCTCCAACTATTACAGCAGTGCCCAGACAGAAGAATCTGCACCTGGCTGCTTTCCCTTCTATGCATCTCTTAGCATAAGGAAGGATGCGCCCCTCTAGAGTTGCTGGAATACAGCTCCCATCATCCTGACTACTGGCCAGGCTGACCAAGGCTAATGGGAGCTGGGGGCTGCATCTGGCCATTTGGGGAGCGGACATGTCTATGAACCCTTGCCTTTCTGGCCAACATACCTCCAGCCTCCAAAGTTCCTTTCTTCCCCTTTTATGCCAATAACTAACAGATCCTGCTGTTCCTAAGTGGCACATGAAGCCTGTCTTCTGCCCTTTTCTTGGCTGCTCCTTTCTACAGCTCCATGGCTTCACTACTGTCCCTGCTGTTTTCCCTCTTCCTTCCTCTTCCTCTGGCTTCCAGCCAATGTTTGCTACCCAGGATAGCTAGCATTTTTAAAAGGTATTGGGGGGTGGGGGTGGGAATAAACCACCCTTCAGGTGGCAACCTTGGGCACATTTGGTCAGACCACACCTGGAGTCCTGTGTCCAGTCCTTGGTGCCACAGTTTAAGAAGGATAGTATTGACAAGCTGGAAGGTGGGCAGAGGAGGGCGACCAAGAGGATCCAGGGTCTGGAAACCAAGCCTTATGAGGAACGGTTGAAGGAGGTGGGTATGTTTAGCCTGGGAAAGAGGAGACTGAGAGGAGCTATGATTGATATCTTCAAATAGCTCAAGAGCTGTCCCATGGAAGATGGAGCACACTTGTTTTCTCCTGCTCTGGAGAATAGGACCTGAACCAACGGATTCAAGTTAGAAGAAAGGAGATTCCAATTAAACGTCAGGATTGGATTCCCTTGGGGAGGGACTCTCTTTCTTGATTGTTTTTAAGCAGAGATTTGATGGCCATCAGTAATGGATGATCTAGCTGAGATTTCCGCAGAGGTTGGACTAGATGACCCTAGGGGTCCTAATATAAGAATTAGAGACCCAGGGTGTAGATTTGTTTGATTTCCAGTATTAATTGCATTCAGCCTTTGGCTAGCGTGCATCCATGAATGATTCCTGCATGTTGTGACTCTCTCTTGCCTCCCTCCCACGCTGCATTCCATCTCTCCTGTCTGACCCTGAAAGTGGTACAAATGGCAGAATCGTTTCCTCTGTCTGTTGTGCGTTAGCATGGACATCTCCTTGAAAGATTCCAGATATGGGAAAGGACTGTCAACAGCCCCACTGAAGGTCTGGTTGCCTTGACAACCGTCCGATACGTTGTAAGCCAAGACCACATGTTTTGGAACACCCCAAGGAAGTTGATCCCAGTGTGGAGCCCTGTCTCTTCCTATCTCATCTCCATGTATGTAGAATGTTTGACGTTTAACGACTCTTTTTGCACTGTGCCTATAAAACCTTTGTTCTGATGCTCCTCTAAGCGGTGGTTCAGCTGAAATAAATGCCAGGTCCCTCCTGAATGCTGGACTTGCATGAATTTCCTTGGCTCTGTGTTTTATTTAAAAGGTGGTCCCTTCCAACTCTGCCATTCTCTGATTTAGCTGAGAGCGCAGGAGCCAGCTGCTAGGGGCCGAGGTCCCTTTGCCCCCCATAAAATATTTGAAGCGTAAAGGACCCCTGGATGGTTAAGTCCAGTCCAAGGCGACTCTGGGGTTCTGGCACTCATCTCGCTTTCTAGGCTGAGGGAGCCGGCGGTTGTCCGCAGACAGCTTTCCGGGTCATCTGGCCAGCAGGACTAAACCGCTTCTGGCGCAACGGGACACCGGGATCGAGTGCCAGAGCGCAGGGTCATCGGTGCCCCCCCCCTTGAGGGGCTTTGCCGCTCCACTGGTGCGCCTGCGCCACATCTTGTGAGGCTGGGGCTCAACTGCCCCCCGCCCCCAATGTTTTATGAGAGCCGGACTCCAGAGTGCAGGGAACTCTGCACATGCTTACGTGCGGGACGCCTTTTCTGTCCCGTCCCCCCCGCCCACAAAAAAGGGGTCTTGCGCTTCTTGGGAGAGAAGCCTTTTGGCCTGCGGGGGGGGCGGGCGAGGGGGCTCCTCACGGGCCGCCCGCTGGGCCTGGCCCTGGTCGCGGGGGGGGGGGCAGGCGAGAGGGAGTGCGCAGGCGCCAGAGGCGGCGGAAAAAGCTTCGCGCTCCTTCTCTCCCTCCCGCTGGTTTCTTCGGGGGAGGCGGGGCTTAGCGTGGAACGCCGCTGACTTCCGGTTGTGGATCCTCCCTGGACTCCGTCCCCGGAAGTGGGCATTGGCGCTGCAGGCGGGGCGGGAGGCGGCGGCGGAAGGGGAGGCGGCCTGAGGGAGCGAAGTGCGTGTGCGGGAGAGAGAGAGAGGGAGAGAGAGGCAGAGAGCGGGCGAGGAAGGCGCGCGAGTGTCTGTGTGTGTGCGCGCGCGCGTGTGCGTGTGTGGAGGAGAAGGCGAAGGCGGCGGCGGAGAGCCGGGCGGGCGGAAGGCAGGCTGGGCCTGACGGCGGCAGAAGGAACCCGAGGAAGGAGAAGATGGCGGATGGCGACAGCGGGAGCGAGCGAGGGGGCAGCGGGAGCGGCAGTGGCGGCGGCGGCGGCGGAGGAGGCGGCGGCGGCGGGGGCGGCTTCCAGGGACACCGCGGCGGCGGCGGGGGCGGCGGGGCCCCCGGCCCGGAGCAGGAGACGCAGGAGCTGGCCTCGAAGCGGCTGGACATCCAGAACAAGCGCTTCTACCTGGACGTGAAGCAGAACGCCAAGGGCCGCTTCCTGAAGATCGCGGAGGTGGGCGCGGGGGGCTCCAAGAGCCGCCTCACGCTCTCCATGGCGGTGGCCGCCGAGTTCCGGGACTACCTGGGCGACTTCATCGAGCACTACGCGCAGCTGGGGCCCAGCAGCCCCGAGCAGCTGGCCCAGGCCTCGCCCGGCGGGGAGGACGGCGGGGGCGGCGCGGGGCCCCGGCGGGCCCTCAAGAGCGAGTTCCTGGTGCGCGAGAACCGCAAGTACTACCTGGACCTGAAGGAGAACCAGCGCGGCCGCTTCCTGCGCATCCGCCAGACCATCAACCGCGGGCCGGGCGGCGGCGGGGGCGGCGGCGGCGGAGGGCCGGGCTTCCCGGGGGGCCCGCCGGGCCTGCAGAGCGGCCAGACCATCGCGCTGCCGGCGCAGGGCCTGATCGAGTTCCGCGACGCGCTGGCCAAGCTGATCGACGACTACGGCGCCGACGAGGACGAGCTGGGCGGCGGCGGCGGCGGCGGGGGGGCCCGGGCGGCGGGGGCGGCCTGTACGGCGAGCTCCCCGAAGGCACCTCCATCACGGTGGACTCGAAGCGCTTCTTCTTCGACGTGGGCTGCAACAAGTACGGCGTCTTCCTGCGCGTCAGCGAGGTGAAGCCTTCCTACCGCAACGCCATCACGGTGCCCTACAAGGCCTGGGCCAAGTTCGGCGGCGCCTTCTGCCGCTACGCCGACGAGATGCGAGACATCCAGGAGCGCCAGCGGGACAAGCTGTACGACCGACGGGCCGGGCCGGCCGGGCCGGGGAGCGGCAGCGGAGCCGGCGACGATTCCGACGGAGACGATGTAGACGACGACTGAGCCTCTCTCTCCCCCCCCCCGCCCTCCTCCTCCTCCTCCCCCGGGCCGCCTCCTCCCCGTCGCCCCCTTGCTTCTGACAACCCCCTTCTCCTCGCCATGGAGTAGGGGACTGGGTGGAGCAGGGAAGGAAACCCGGCCCCAAGCTTCCTCCCCACCTCACACGCATCCTTCTGTCATGGGAGAGAGGGAGCTTCGAGATGACCTGCATACACCCCTGACCTGCACCACTTCTGGAGCACCCTCCTGATCTCTATCTCTGTGACCCTTTTATTTTTCCCAGGGATACAGCATCTGTTGGGCCTCACCGACATCATTGCCTCCCCTGCAGAGAGGAATCTTTGTGGCCTCAGTTAACCTCAACCTTAGCCCATGGCGGAGAGAAGGGGATCTCTGCCATCTAAATCTGTCCTGCCTTCCAAGGCTCCTCCTCTACCGAATGGCTGAGATGTTTTATTTGGGAGGAAGGGAGGGAGAATTGTTACTTGGGTCTTGACTCTCTCTTTCACTTCCACCCAGACCCTTCACTCTTGCATTTCTGAGGTGGTGCCCCTCTACTCTTGAAACCAGCATTCTGGAGAATAAAAGGCCACTGAGCATTGTTTGAAGGAGGGGAGAAGCTACCACCGCTGTCCAAATCAGTGGGGGCATGGGGCTTATTTTGAGGGGGGTGCAGATCCCGATGGGGAAAGTCATAGAGATCAATCATGGATTTAGACCAGCAGAAAATGGGGATTTAAATGGGTCGGGGAAGGGGACATAGCAGGTGGGCAGGGGAAAGAAGCAACCAACTCAAAATACCTTTTCAGAAAGGTAATTGGGTGGGGGGAGCCTGTATCTGGACCAATGTCCATTGTTGTCTTCCCCCCCCCCCTTTGCAGAATTGTTTGTTTTATTTTGGGGGTGCAAATTGCTAAGCTCCAGGTGCCTGAACTGGAATTGATAAGTGAATTACTTTAAAGCTGGCAGGTTCTAAAGATCTTAAATTGTATTTCATTTTTCTTTTTTTAATGGGGGTTGCAAACAGGTAGATTAAAGAAAAACAGGCATAAAGCACAAGGCATGCAGAGTGGACTGGTCGCTGCTCGCTAAAGTTCTTCCCCTTCTCTCCAAATAAGGTGAAAGCAAATGGCTTTAATAGGAGGCGGAAACTGGAGCTGTCTTTCTGCTGACTTCAAAAGATGATCTGGTCAAAGAAGTGAAATCTGTAGCTGGGTTTTTAAAAAGCAAAATCTTGAAATTGTAATTTGGCAAAGGAACTGTGTGGCTGCAGGTCTGTGAAAAGAACCATGTAGGAAAACGGAAGGCTTCTTTCATCGTGCAAACTAGTGGACATGAACACAGACACCAAGAACCTCAGGTCCAGAAGTCCAGCATCAGTTATTCTTTTAACAAGATTTTTTTTTAACAAAAAGAGAACTATCCATTTTCTCAGTACCTCACATTATGTTAACAGCAGAGTTGGCAAGAGTGAATTGATGGGATGGATTGTTCAGAGCAATGCATGTCCAGTTGGAGCTTGATATCCATCACTAAAAAGGAGCAGAAACAACCCCACAAAAGATCTGTGACTGAACGTTCCCTAGCAGCGTTTTACCATCTTCACATTTTATTATAGACTGGCTACTGCCAATTTATCCAGCTGTCCTTTCCAAACAAAGTTGGGTGTCTCCACCCAAATAATTGCCTCATCTATATTTTGAATGGATTCTTAATCTAAAATGATATTTTTTTAAAACAAATGAAGTCAGACCTATTCCCTCCAAAAGTGTTTTTAGATACATTCTATACTGGCAACTTTGAATTGAATGGAAGTGTACTGTTCACTACAAAGTTTCAGGTATTATTTGTGCAACATCTTAAGAGAGGCAGGTAAACCTTCCTCTACAATCTTTTTTAAGTGTGCATGCCTGTCCTTTATTTGAGCTGCCTTTTTAATTTATTGCATACCCTTATTACCTTATTTTGGTATTACTCTTATCTATACTATCTTTGTTTTGTATTTATTAGAAAGCAAGGAGACATAAAAGGCATTTCTTCACACGGTTGTCACTGTAGTGGGGAAATTTGCAAGAATTTTCTTTTAAAAAATTAATTGGTTTTACTATAGCTATTATAAAGATCTGCAAATGATGTCAGAATAGTTTACCACAAGATGTTCAGCCACACATATAATTGTTTATTTTCAAAGATATTTCTTTATTCCCAGTGTCCACAGTAGATATTTTTATTGTATTTTTGAAGAAATATTTCTTTCCATTTTTCTCCGTCGCAAAGAACTTGTTTCCTGAATTGTAATGGGAGCAATAGTATTTCTTGATGTTTTAATTACATCTGTATACTCGTACTGTATTTTGTACTCTCCAAGGCAGCTGTTTTCAATAATGTCCTGCTGTATCTACCTATGTATTTTTGTTCAAATGTATGTAGTTCTTTGCTCCGGAGAACAACTTTCACCAACAAAAGTTTCAGCAGGTTAACTGGGATACCACAGCCCTCTAGGATTGCAGAAAACTCTACTTAACTAATTAGAGCTCTAGGCAGCAATGAAAATTGAGGCTGCAGATGCTTGGTGTATATTGCTGTAACTCTTCACTCATTTTAAACCAATGTACAATACTTGTATAGACCAACAATGTTTTGTTGCTTCAGTGGTAATTGGGTTTTTTTTCCCTTTTGTTGCTCAGCTGCTGTGAGCCAATTAAAATGCAGTACCTCTCCTTTTCAGGAGAATTTTTTTTTTTTTTGGCTGAATTGCAGTAACTCGTCTTACCTTTGTATTGCGTGGTAGTGACAGGGTTTGACTGTCCCTGGCCAGTGGCTACATATGCTATAATTAGCTGTCTAGGAAGTATGTGGAAGTAGACAGAAGCATATATCAGTTGTATGCCAAGAATGCTGCCATATATGGTGTTGTTTTGGCAACCAGAAAAAAATCTTCTGTAGTCATTAGACCACTTAAAGCATTGTATATTGGGTACACAGACTGACACATGACCCTCCAAGGTATATAGGTGGTGACAATGCAGTGTGTCAGTAGGAGAGTCTCAGTGAAAATACTGGGCATGCTTGTGTCCAGCTTAAGTATAAGTGGTAAGATTTTAAATGTTTTGAGTAATACTGAGGTTATCTCACCATAGCAGGTTAACGGCCAAGCCTCATGCTATAGGAAAATTAGTCTGGTGGCACAAGCCCTTGTTAGGTGCAGGGGTTTACGGAGGAAAATCCATAGAACTCTGAGAGTGGGGGAAGGGGGCTTGCCTGGCATCTGTAGAGCTTTGAACCTCTCCTCCCTGTTGTAAAATTTGGGACTTCTGTGATTAAAATAGTGGAGATTGCAAATACTGTATTGTTTAAGGGTCACTTGGAAGCATTGATTGGCCTCTAGTGAAAGATGAATCCTATTTGGTGTAGGGATAACTGTTAGAAATCTCACCACCCCCCTTGCACACATGTGTGCACTTTGTACAAACTGCGCCTTTAAAAGAAAAATCACACTGCTCTCTAAGCCTAGTAGTTTTGTCTCAACAATTGGTCTCTGCAAATTCTAAGTAGGCAGACTTGTCCCTGTTCAGAGTCGCTTCTGTTCATGTGATAGGGATATTCAGCCATGTTGGAAAAAATGTACTGCCTGGATTACATCTCGGATGAATGATCTTGTTATTCCTGTTTATATTCTTGTGCTTAAATGTCAATTTGGGTAAAGGCTTCCCCATTCTTGGTGCTGCAGTTAAATTGTATCTTTGAATTTTTCTGCAGCAACATTGACAGTACCTCAGTGCAGTTTACAAGCTGCCGTCTGGCATATCTGTGCTTAAAATAGCGGAATTCCATAAACTTACTGGAGTTTAGCTGCCACACGTTCAGGTATGTTGAGTTATGTGGCTTGTGGATCACACTGTTGTCTTAAAAATGTCAGTTCTGTGTGAGGGGGAAATGGGCAAACCTCCCTGTGGAGTTCTGCATATCCAACATTTCTAGACTTCTACTGTCCTTGGAGTGATGCATCTGCTGTACAAAACAAAATGTAAATCTTGTATAGCACCAAAAATTGTAAATATTTGAGGCATACAGGTATAAACACCCGTATCTTTAGCTCACATCTAGTTACGGGTTCTTGTTCTTCTTTCCATAGCTGTCTGCTGCAGAGCGGTTGCAGACCTAACAGTGAATGCTTTTTCTTTTTTCCTCAAATAAAAAGCAGTCACTGTTGCTTACCCTGGAATCCGCTCTGCAACCACAGATCTTTTTAAAAATAAATTAAGATTCAAGCTTCTGCTTCAGTTTCTCTCCCCAAAAACACACATTCTTATCATGCCCTGGCTTACAATTTTCAGGATAATGGGCACAAGATGCAGATTACAATAAGCCCTCATATTGAGTGGTCCCATCATTGACTGCACGCTTCAGGTATTGGAATAGCTGAGGATGATTTGTGATCTGTTCCTATCATTAAAGGGGACATTGGAAAAGTGACTAACTCAGGCTACTTTTCACTTGTGAGGGCAGCAGTTTTGTGATTTTGGTGGAAAACTGTTCAGTGCAGAAACATGCATGGACATCTCAATGTTTTAACAGAAAGATTATGGTACTTTATCTGATGCACAATTTAATCTCTCAGCAGATATTCAGTTATTATTTAAAAATAAATAAACTTGTGGCCTTGACTTTTAACTTAGTGGAAGGGAGGAAAACTTAGTTTTTCCCTTTAAAAGTGGCACTTTTTGGCTTCAAAATTATTCTAATACTACGTAGTTCTCGGTAAACATGTTGTTGATATGCTTCCTTTGGTAAAATGGTAAATGTATTGAAGTATGTTTGCTATGAAACAAATTTAGTTTTTTAAAGGGATAGTGTAATTGGGATTACCAATCTACTTGAGGCTAAATATTTAAAACTTAATGGACCCTGATACTTTTAATATGCATTATTCAAAATTATTTCTGGAAACATTGTGTAGGCAATCTAATATTACCCAGCAGAACCCTTAGCTTAGAGCTTACCTATGCTACAAATCTGAATCATTTTATACCAGAAGAATATAAAGACTTTCCTCAAAGAAACATTAGTTTGATGAGAGTGCTGGGAGATTTGTAGACTCTCACTGAGAGGGAATGATGATTAAACCAGTTTAGACCTATATGCTTTGAGCTATTGCACTCAGACCAGTCTTCTGCAGCTCAAAACCTTAAAATGCTTTCTGAATGCCAAACTGGTAGTGGCAGGTCTCTTATTATGTATTTCTTGATTATTTGTTCACTCATGAATTTGCGATGTAAATACATACTCTTCATGGTAGCTTACTTCCCCCATGTTCTTGATAGTCTGATTCCAGATGTGCTAGAGGTATTTAGAAAGCTTGCCTCTTGTCCAGCAATGGTGCTTATGGTAATTCAGTGTCAGCAAAATTACTGTAGCAATTTGTTGTGCTTGAGCATTAGCCAGATCATCTTAATTGTCAGGTGGCATTTACTTCTTAAAATTGCATACTTGGGTTTGATTTATTAGGTTGATGGAGTTTGGCTAAGATAAGGAAAGACTGGTTGTAGTAAAAAAGATTTCTTCCTCCCTCTTGCAGGTTCTCAGGAACCTCATCTTTTGCACTTTGTAGTTTTTAGCCAACAGAGGAAGAGTTAAAAAGAATTAAGACTGACAGATTGCTTTATTGAGGTATTGTGAGAGGAAAGCATGTGGCTGAAGCATAACAGCTGTTTCGTGTAAGGTTCCAGAGAAGTTTAATATTGGAAGCAGACATTCAAACCTGTGAATGTGGCCATGAGCTGCTACCTCTCCTACCTGTAGAATGACAGTTAATCTGCAGTGGTGTTAATCTCATAATGTACTGTGTGTGTGTGTGTGTGTGTGTATAGGTACATATACACATACATACAAAGTAAGCGGCCCACAGCAAAGAAGTACAAGTTTGTCAAAGCTATTGTAAATGTACAGGGAAGCTTACTGCTGCTTCCCCCACTCCTGGCCTATCACTGCTTTGTGTAGCCAAGGTAAACTGTCTTTAAGACTTGCAGAGGACATGATTTAAAACAGCAGTCACTGTGCACCATTTTAACCCAGGCAAGTTTCCAAGACAATATGTTTAATTTCCTGCCCTGCTTTTTCTGTGTTGAAAGGCCCATCTGGTTAGAAAATCCCATATTTGAATGCATGTGGGATTTACAAGAATATAGCTTAATCTTGTTGTTTCTTCACACTGCCCCTCTTCAGAATTGGAGCTGTTGACTCAGGCATGCTCAAATGTAAAGAACCATGATAAGCGAGTTAGCCAGTTATCTCCAAGCTTACATGTGCTGTGAATATTTTAACCTTGCCAACATTTGTAGAGAGGGGCCCATTAGGAGAAGGCAGGTCATTGGCCCAATAATAACATTGGGTAATAATCTGAGCAGCTCTCCATGTTACCTTTCCCTCCAGCACTTTCACATCATCCTTGCTGGCCTATTATTAATAGGAAATGTGTTAGTCTAGATTGCTGAAGCTGCATTCAGTGATTTTCATGCTACTAAGAATGCTGTGGTTCCACAGAAGCCTATCAAGTTCCTCAGTGAGAAGACTGTCCGCTGTCTCAATGTCCAGCTGCACAGGAAGGTTAGGGCATTTTGGAACATAACCTTTCTTGGTGAGAAGTCTGATCAGTGCCCGTATTTGAACATACCGTAGAATCTTCTGCAGTGCACAGGTTGCAGCAGATGCTCAAGGCAGGCAAAACCCTATGTGAAGCAGGTTCTCTGAGGAGGTGATATGTTTGTCAGTGAGCCAGTGTGGTGTAGTGGTTAAGAGCGGTAGTCTCGTAATCTGGTGAATTGGGTTCGATTCCCCGCTCCTCCACATGCAGCTGCTGGGTGACCTTGGGCCAGTCACACTTCTTTGAAGTCTCTCAGCCCCACTCACCTCACAGAGTGTTTGTTGTGGGGGAGGAAGGGAAAGGAGAATGTTAGCCGCTTTGAGACTCCCTCAGGTAGTGATAAAGTGGGATATCAAATCCAAACTCTTCTTCTTCTTCTTTGAAAGTCAAGCAAATGTTGAGCAATTGTAGCCCATACTGTAGGTAGCTTATTTTTCCCCATGTTATGTTACCAGTTGGTGCTGGTAGTCTTCCATGTTTTGCCAAGACTGGTGGAACAAACACTCATAATCTGGTTTCCAAGTCTCTTGCTCTTTCTCCTTGCCTCATTGAATTAACCTTTGCACTGCAGGTGGATTTTGCAAGCACAGGTCTTCCATTGAAATGAATGGATAGTGCCCCCGCTGCTGTGCTTGCTGGCGTAGCCGCCAAAGTCCTTTTCCAGCAGAGGGTGCAGCAGTCAGCTGCCTCTTCCAGTTAGAGGTATTGCTTACTACAGATACTACAGTATCTGTTGCTCATTTTGATGCTAACAGATTTGTCAAAAGTGATATGCAGGATTAGAAAGAAAGGGCAGGGTTGTGCAAAATCGTTGTCCTTGGGAAGTGGAGGTTTTGCTGGGCTGAATGTACAATTTCAGTAGTGAGCAAATATTTTAATTTGGTATAAAGTTGAGAAAACCTTGTGTAAGTGATAATTGATCATATATGGATGTAATCAGCCCATATGTAAATATACACGTTTGTACATTGTATACATAGAAAGAAATGTCTGTGTACATGTGTATGTATTTATAAAAACATGTTTCTCTGCTAGATAGTAAATGCAAAAGTAGCTCTAATTTTATATCTATCTCTATATATATCTATATATTTAAAAAAAACTCCCCCTCTATAAATATATTATATAAATGCTAGAAGTTAATTTGTAGTAAAATAGATCTGATTTCAGGAATATCTGCTGAGAGACCAAAAAGTTCACTTTTAAGTACCTTAATTAAAGAATAAAGTTTATTCCTCTTGTTTATTTTTTTATATAAAAAAAATTAAATGCACTTTAACTGGCAAAACAAACACAAACAGCTGCGTGGTGCAGTTTCAAGCATACAGAGATGTTTTAAAAGTGCAGCACCCATTCAGAAATATTCCTTTCTCACCCATTAAGCAGAGCGCTGGAAAGTATTTACAGTCCCAGGGCAAAGAGCTGCCTCTTGGTCTTGCTGCCTGTTGGCTGAAGCTGAGATTCTGATTTCCCTTTTGGGGAGGGGGGCTGGCAGGACTGCTTTTAAAGAGCAATGCAGATGCAGCCAGACACTACAGGCTGCTGTCAAACCAAGGCAGGTCCTGGATTTACCACTAGCTGACTAGCAAAACAACAACAAACCTGTCCAAACAACATTAAGAACTCCTCATGCTAGTTGAGCACTCCTTACCATAACAGGTTTTTGCAAATGGAGTTTTACAGTCTATATTTAAAAAAATGTATGTTTGTAACAAATAAAAGTATGCGGAAAAGTGAATGAACATGTACCTCTGTCTCTGGGTTTTTTATGTAGTGGGAAATCATGTATTTTTGTGATGCAATTGAAAATTAATCATTTATTACCCTGGAGCTATGTTAGATCTGTCATGAGTTGATGGGCCTGTGGCAAAGCGTTGCCTGTTTGAATGAGTGGGAAATATCCAAGTAGGGAAGTATACCAAACAAGAAGCAAGATTCTATAAATCCTGATGGATCTCAGGGACTGAAGATGAATTCCTGGAGTGGGGCAGGGAGGGCAAGGAGCAGGGAGAAGCTTGAACTCCTATATGGTTACCATCTTTTGCCAACTGCTGTCTGTGAATGCTAGGCTATTTTATTTGTATATCACTACACACATCCAGAGGCACCCTGGAGCAATTTTCAAGAACAAAATACAACATATACATATGTTCACTAAAATGATACAAATATTAAAATATTCATCCAAAGAAAGAAGGTGTTACTTTTTATTATCGTAATCTGGCCACCCCAAGAGAGAGTAGTGTGTTGTGTGTGTGATGACAGTTTCACAGCACTTTAGAGCCATAGAACTGAGGCTTGTGATTCTCTCCCTGAGCTTGGATTTAAACCCAAAAATCCACCCTTCTGGAGTACGTAGCCTCTTAACTGTTAGTTGGCTCCTACTGGAAGAAAGCCTACAACTGGGAGATCTGCACAAGCTTCTCACAATGTGCAAA